GGCAGTCTAGGAAGAAGTTGCTGGAGTTGTGACTGGGCCCAGGGCTGCCAGGCATCAATCCTGAACCACTAACTGGATCTCGAGGTTTAGTGGTTTTTCTACAGCAGCAGGAGCAGGAGGAAGCTTACCTGAATTTCTGCCTTAACCATAAAGACCTGCCCTTGAGTGTGACCCAGGTTGAGTAAGCAGGAGCAGTAAGGAGATGCAGGCTAAAACTTAGGTCCTGGTTCTGAATTCTGGGTTACCTCCAGTACTGTGCCGTTAGTGTTAGTATCCGAATGGGGGAAACGGCCCCTTTTCCCACATCAATGGGTTCTCCGAGGCTTGCTGGAAGTGCTCTAGGCTCAGGGCAGCTGGCATGAAAGCCCTAAGGGTGCACAGTGCCTTCTCACAACCAGGACAGTTTCACCAACCTCCCTTTCCTGTCTCATGCTTGAAAAAAAAAATGGAGTATTTTAAATTGTTTTGTTTGGTTTGGTTTTTTTGGGGGGGGGTCCCCAGCTTACCTCTTCGGTGGTCTGGCTAGGCTGTAGACAAAAAAGATGGAGAGAAAGTGGTGAGGTGCCCGGCAAACTCGCACACAACTTACTTGAGCAGCACAGAAGCAGAGCCCTGAGAGCAGCAGTGGAAACGCAAGTGTTCCTCTGCCCCAGGCAGTCCAGGCCATCCCTGTTGCTCTCTGTTAACCCTCTAGCCTGCTTCTGCAGCCTGACGACCCCCTAGACTTCGAGACCCCGCTCAGTGCATAAAGTGGCACTTGGACCTCCAAATCCACCCAGAGTAATGGTTGCAAAGGTGCCTGACCAAGAGGACCTAGATTCCTTCTCTTTATGAATGGCCCTGGAGAGGGTCCTGGGGATTGGAGGAGAGCTCACAGGCCCAGGAGGAGGGATAAAATGACAACAGTCCCTGTTAACCCTTTCCTGTCAGCTACACCAAGACCTGAAATGCACTGCACTTCCTCCACCTCACCCTCCTCAGGGTAGCCCTTGGCTGTCCCTGGAGCCTACCGAGGGTTTGTGCCCTACAGGGGAGAAACATTTCCAAGTGGGTATTGTAAGCCACCAAAGGGAGTCCCAAACACAGTTCTGCCCGGTGATGGTTTCTAGAGCCAGGTTGCAAGAAAGCCCTGTGTTTCTTTAATTCCAAGCTAGTCAGTACAGCAAAGCACAACTCTAGGGAAAGAGAACATGGGAGGAGGGGACAAGGGGACACTAGTAATGAGAAGAGGGTGAGGTGGGAGAAGCAGCTTTTGCAGGCCGTTCAAGGACTCACTGTGATTCTGACTGGCAGCTCATGACACGTTTCTCTCCTGGGTCTCAGAGGGTCGCAATGAATCAGCATCCACTGGAGTTCAAACTGATGGAAAACAGCAGAGAGCAGATCACATACAAAGGAGTGTTTTGTTGTTTGTTGTTGTCGTTTAATATAGTCTGTAATTCTTAACAGAGCAGAAGCCATGTGAACTTCCTGAGCTCAGTGAAGCACAGCTCTAGATTTTTCCTGAGCACAATTTCTAACGGAGGTGGCTGGAAGCCTTTCCAAACTCCTCTGATCATTGGCAGGAGATGTCCTTCATTCTGATTCGCTCCAGAGTAGCCCTAGCTTGGAAATAGACCACTGGCACTGATTTTCTATTTCTGTTCTCACCACAACTTCCAGAAGTAGATGCTACTAAAATGTGCTTCACAGAACAAGGAAGTGTCCAAAGCACAAGCCAGTGTCAGACATTCCATGGCAACCTGGCTTACTCCCTCCACATGGAATATTGTCCTCCTCACCCCAGTTAAACTTCACCTGGGAGATTAGAGTCAGAAATAGCCACAGGTGATTACAAAGAGAACAAATGGAAGAAAGAAAATTTAGTCCAGAAGAAAGCATCCTCCATGGAGTGGTGGAGAAACCTAGAACTTGGTGGTGGAGAAGGGGTGTTCAAAATATTTAAATTTTATATACTATTACCCATTGTTTGAAGAGTGATAAACTTCTGAAGACTTGAAATCCAGATAACATCTAATGCTCTCAGTGGGCTATTAGGGAGGGAAAATTAAAACAAGAAGAAAGAAACCAAGGAAGCCAAGAGTTGCCAGGTCTAGATCTGAAGGAGCCTTAATTGAAAGGCAAGAAAACCTGAAGTGAAAAACCATGCTGGCTCATCTTCTAGGCTGGCAGGTTTCTAGCTGTGAAATTAATATTAGGTCCCTATTTCTTGGTCAGTCAATTCCACTGGTTCTGGCAGGTGGTTAGGTGACCAGGTCTCCAATCTAAACACCATTGCTTTCTTTCAGCCCATAGTGATTTCCATCCCTTCCCACCGGCCACATGGATCCTAGACCTGCCAGCTCTACAGAGATATGAGATACGTGTTTTCCAGCTGCTGCAGACACATCTGCAGTTGAAATCATTGGGTGGAAAATGGAACCCGAGACAAACAAAGCAAGTTCTTCGTTTCCAATAAACATAGAGAGAGTCAAGCCAAAGGTGAGTGTCTCTATTATAAAGAGGACAAAAGACTCAAGTGAAATAAAAAACCCTGAGCAGCTATCAGGACTCACTTTAAGATGGAAAATTACCTATAAGTTGTTTGAGCACTGTGCTGTGTTGACCTAACAATAGAATGCAGACATATCTCAAAAGATCTGTCCAGGTACACAGCACCTTAGAGTTATATTGCTTCCGCCAAATGCTACTTTTATCAAAGTAGTCTTTCTTACTGGAAAAAAAAGAATCATCTGATTTTTATTTTAAATTACAGTAGCATTAAAGAAAGATGGGAAAGCGGAATTGGAATAAATTTTTACCTAATGGCAGTAGAATACGTGCCATTTAAGGCTGGTCACAGAGAAAGTGGGACAGAGGAGTCAGCTCATTGACAGCAGGTCACACAGCTGGGAAAGGGCAGAAGATTTCTAAATGTTCCTAACATTAACTTAATAATGTCTCTACTACACCTTCCGACATTCCTAAATGACGCACACTAGCTCTGTGGTGGGTCATATTTTTTTGAAACAGGTGACCAATAAATTTGTCAAATGACATCTTTTAAGACTTCCAGAACTGGACTAAGAAACTCTCGCTAGGATTCCAAACTCTTCTCATTTTGTGTGTTCATTAGGGAAACATCCTCCAAAAATCGACCACTGTGCCTATACTCAATCACATACCCACAAGTGTGACAAAATAACACATGGAGAAGAAAAGGATCATTTTTTCCTTATTCCCAATATTCAGTATAAAAGACTACTCCACACAGTTTTATTCGCTAAATCTTGCGAGAACTGGTCATTTGATCTAGGTATACACTGAAGGTGCATGAAATTTTAGTTTGAAAAGTGAGTCGCCCCCATAAACACTAATTATATGGCTATCCGGGAAACCTAAATCCTTTGCCTAGATAGTTCATCAAAGTTACTTATTACAAATGTGAAGTAATTCATTAAGCTGTCACCTCAAAAAGAAAAAAAAATGTAATACTCTCTGAATAAATTGGTGCACCTGATTAAATATGCAGAAAATGCAATTGTGGCACCAAAAAATGGGGAAATGAAATGTATTTCATCTGTGAATACAAGTGGGGCCGTTCAAAGTGCCACATAGATCAAGGGTTTCTGAACACATCTGCGTGTTCCCATAAACACCACCCACGCACTAATAATCATCTATACAACAAGCGTTTTTTGGCATGCAATATGAATTTCAATTTGCATGCTAATTATTTTGAAGGAAAATTGGCAGTGAGCTTTTGTAAAAGTCACTTTCATTATACAGCTAAAATGCTGATTTCCACATTTCTCATTTTTGTACCTGGGCTCCTTTTCATTCTTTTAATATTCACTGACAAAGTATACGTGACACATATTTTAATTTAATCTTTCAGTGAACAGTTTTTTAAAAAAAAAATCCCAGGATAAACCAAGCACTGAGAAAATGGTCTATGAAAGCCAGATAATCCCCTCTCCACAAACAGTTCACAGTCTGTAAGATGAGAAAAATGTGGCTAGAGAAACAAAACCTTCTAAAAATCTATTAAGCAGAACATAACGCCCCTTAGGAAATGTCATGTTTTCCAATAGGAAATGTTTCTCTTTCTCTCAAGGAAAATGAAGTCCTCACATCTGTCCAGATTTTGCATGGTCTAAATAGTCCATCTCTAAAAATCCTTAAGACAATTACATTTCTGAAGCTAAGATAATGCTCAATGAAAGACATTAGTGTTGATTCCAACACTCTAGTCTTTATTTTGCTAGGCTGTTGAGAAAGATTAAGTATTTGAACTCAGCTCCAGATTACTGAGAATGGCACACGTTTTGTTTTTATTTTTAATGAACTAAATTAGTTTTACAATTTTCTAGTATTAAACACCTAGGCTAATTTTTGCTAACAAGATAGAATCTTCATTAAGCTATCCAGTCAAAGACAAAAAGTATTTACAACCAGTCAAAAGTAAGAGTACTTATTTTGGTCCAGTCAACGAAAAAAAAAATTACTGAGATCTCAGATCTTATTCTTAATTGCAACTTTTGATGAGTTGTTGGCTTCCCCTGTCATCAAGAAATCTCTCCAGAGGACACTTCCTGGGAACTGAGCAGAGAGCTCTGAACTGCCTCAGAATCAAGAGTTTCAGCATCAAGAGAAAGTAGCCAACTGGAGTTGGCACACAGAGAATATATTCATTTATTGAATTGTGTGCTTGGAGATAAATATTATGGAGGACACAAAAATACCATTTAAGACCATATGTGGGCTTTAAAAATACATTTAGCAATAAATACTCAAGCACCCAAAACACTAACATGTTTTTCTGGCTAAAGCCATCAAGTAACACATAATATGTGAACAGGTCCAAACAGCAAATGAGTTTTCACACAAGAAGATGAGAGAAAAATGGTGGAGCTAGTGAACTCTATTTTGAACTCTATTTTATCTGGGGTCCTTATAGCTCTACCTCTTTTCTCCACCCCTTATCCCTCCTAGTACCTTCCAACACCCCAACACTTGGTAGGAGAGAAAGAAAGTTAGTGGGGAGAGAGGCAGAGTTCTCTTTGGCTACTTCTGGCTGGTTAAGGCCATTGGGTTCTTTGGGGCAATACCAATCTCAGTTGTCAGGATATCTAACAGTGCAGCAAACAGCAACAGCAAACACAGCAGAAGATTGAACTGTCTCTCAGTCATCTTTCTCTCTCTCTCTCTATCTTTGCTGTCTCTCAGCCTCTCTCTCTTTGTCTGTCTGTGTCTCTGTCTCTCTCTCTTGTCTCTCTCTCAAAGCATCCTCTCCAGAGCCCCAATTGGCTCTCATAGTTATACCCTCTCAGAGTCCTCAGAGTTAAGCTATTTCCAGCTGGCAAAGACCACACCGCTCTCTGAGCTGAAGGAGGCTGTTATTAGCTGTGGACAAACTAAAAGCAGGTCCATATACCACACTTGGGATTAAAACAAAAACCTGTTTGTATAACATAACCGAGTTTTTAAAGACACCAAAACTTCCACTATAGGATAAAGCTGGGGTCTGGAAGAGAGGGAATAGGACAAAGCTAGAGGGTAAGAAGTATACAGAAAGGACCCAGATTAGCTGGAGCAGAGTACACAGCAGGCTTTTTCTCACTATGAATTCTAAGCTAAGGAATCTCAATATTTTGAATGGATTATCAAACTATCACTTTATTAATTATCACCAAAGATTTTTCTTCAGTGGATAGACATAAGAAATGGGCAGATTTAGAAGGGCACTTTGTGAAGCTTCAGTTGGTCATGCCTGACTGATGTTTTAGGCAGAAAGTTATTACAGTAAACTTCATGAAGTAGTAAATTCTGAGCTATGGCAATATATCCTGAGATAATTGCCAAGTAAAAAGAAATTCCTCTCCTCATTCCACAACCTCTCCAGCTGCTGTTCTATTTTCTATTTCTCTATCTACAAAACTCAAGACAGTTGTCTGTACCCAGTCTCCAATTCCTCTCCTCATTTTCTCTTGAATCCTTTCAACTGAATTTCATCCCCACAGGCCAGTGTGGATCTTTGATCCAATTACCCACATTGGTTTCTAAAACCAACAGTCAACCGTCTCCAACTTATGTGACCTATCCAGCATTTTAAACAATTCTTGTCTCACCCACCTTGAATTCATCAAGTTTCAGGACATAATAATCTCCTTCTTCGTTCCCTTAATCACAGACTCTTTCTTTTTAAATAAATCTTCCTCATTGTGGCAATAATCCTGGCTCCCTCCGAAGTGAGCCTTCAGTATTGCACTTACGACTTGACTTCATGGCTTTCATAACACATAAATGTTCACAGTTCCCAGAGCTCAGTTTCCATATGGTCCTGCCTCTTAACCTCCAAAAGCTCACACCTAACTGCCTGCTCAGCATCTTCCATTAGATGCCTAATGGTGTGACCTCGGCAACCTCATCAACTATTTCTTATTTTCTCACCTGCTTTGCAAGTGACCCCAAATATCAGGCAACACCAACACTTGTCCCTTGTCATTCATGTTCTCTCTTCCCGGAACCTTCCTCTCTAAGATCTACAGACTATTACCTTAAATCCTTCGAGCTATTTCAAAAGTGTTTACTTCTGAATGAGTCCTACTTCAATTTTCCACTTTGTTTCTCCTGGTAACACTTCCGATGTCCTGGTTTACTACTCACTGTCTACTTCTTCCTTGTGCCTCTTCCCAGAATGTAAGTTGCATTTAGGCATTAACTTTTGTGTCTCTTAGTCACCTAAAGTATACCTGTAGCTTAGTAGATTAAAAAATAGTTGCTGAATATTAATCACAGAAGATATTGACTAAAACTATAACCTCTTATATTTCACAAATACCAGAAATGCTGATCGCAACAGCCAAACTTATTTTCCCAGGTTATTGCGCATGAAACTTGCATTGTTTTCACATTTGTAGGTTAATGTGATTCAATGCTACAGAGTAAAGAAGAAGACAGACAGCTCTTTCATCAACAGTTTTGCCAGCTCTGGCAATTTTCTCTGAATATGATAAAAAAAAGTCACAGCAAGGCATCAGAGACATACTTCTCAAAGCATCAAATCTGTCATGTTCTGTGTTGATTTACTGGGGATATGCACAGGTAAAGAGAAGAATGATTTGAGTTTTATATGGGGAAAGCCACATAAACTTTTATCCTCCCTCAGACAAGACCAAACTCCCAATGTACATCCCTGAAAAGGGAGAAAGGCTAACTTTGTTTTCTAATAGAGCTGTACCAAATAACTCTCCTAGGCAATCATGCTGACAATAAACAATAAAGAACCTGTCATAAAATAACACGCTTTCGTGGGAGGCTGCCAGGAAACCAAGCTTTGCAGGGGGATGAATGGCATCATCCTAAAATGCAGGCACAGAAAAGAATGGGAAATTAGGAACTTATTGCTTTAAAATCAAAAGTAACACACTTAGAGATATGCATAGGGGAAAAATATAAAAATGCTCTGAGCCCACCAAATAACTATAAATGATGAGAATGTGTTTGAACTGTAGACCACGTGAGCACTCATGAAAGCTTCTTGAAATTGGTTTCTTTTTCCAATTTAGAAAGAGAATGGGACAGATGATAGGAAGGATGGGAAAGCCACAAACAGCTGCAATACAAGTGAGTCTTTTAGCATTAGCGATCCATCGAATGCCCAGCTTCCATCTGCATTATGCAGTTCTTATACCTACCTCTCTCTGACAGCTGATGATGCCTGCAGAAAGGACATTTTGCTTTTCATTTACTTACTAAATAAAAGCAAGTGAAGCAAATATTTAGTCAATAGAAAGTGTTGGACATTAGAATTAATCCAATCGTATTCAGAAAATACAAAAAACAAAACAAAACAAAAAGTGCATGCCTTTCCGGTTTTAGGCTATTTTAACTTAAAAATTCTTAGAAAGTGATACTGAGAATTTGCTGTCTCCAAACTGAGAGGCAGGTGACCTATTGGTATGGGTTTTCTGCCTATAAAGATATATGTGTATCAGTAGCTATCACCCTTTAAGACCTTACGGGAGAAATCTAGGTGGTGGTGGGCTTCAATAATTCCCAGCAACTTCAGACACCAATCAAATTGATGAAAAGCTCAAGAAGATGGATGGTGAGCTAAAAACGGGGGTCTAGGGCAATTCATGGGCACATGGACAACAAAGGCATGCTGACTGCTTTAATTTTAGACATTGAGGGGAAATATCTGAAGTCTTTAAAAGTTTGGAAAATAATGAATTAAATTGATTGAGTGTGTGTGTGTGTGTGTGTGTGTGTGTGTGTGTGTGTGTGTGTGAATTGCCAAATAAGAATCCATCTATCCTAAATACCACTCCTTCTCTCCAGGATGCCTTGAGGACACCATGTTCTTTAGTGAGGCTCCTTGACCTTCCCTCCTCAGCCTTCTACACTGCCCTGACTGAGGGGCTTTCTCAACTGCCTGCATGGCACATTTCCTCCTCATCCTCAGGAGAAGGAAATACCTGTGACTCACTCGGCTTTTTATTCCTAGCATATAAGCATGCAACGGAACCTTACTAGACAAACAATAAACAAACAAAATTAGTGTTTAGGGACACATCTTATACTCCTTGATTTTTCTATATTTCTTAACACTTGTTTTATTTGTGCTGAAGAATAAATTCTAAAAGGAAAAGTTTACTCAAATCAAGAATGTCTTTCCAATTAAGAATGATGAGCTGGTTTGTGTCCTTACATGTATCTTTTTTCCTTCCCTTTTTTTTTTTTTTTTTTTCAAGGCAGGTCTCACTGTGTGGCCAGGGCTGTCCTGGAGCTCCCTATATAGATCAGGCTGATCCCAAATTCACAGAGATCCACCTGCCTCTGCCTCTCAAGTGAACCACCACAGCCATAAAATGCATATTTTCCCCCAAAAGAAAGCTGGTTGGATGAGAAGAGAGAGGAGGAGGCAGAGTCAGATCAAAAGGAAACAGAGGAGAAACTGGAGGATGAGGCAGAAAAAAAAAGCTCCATTAGCAAAAAGTTTGAGCGTGATATTGTCACATTAATGTCTTGAATGGAGGTAGGTTTTATTTGGGGGGGGGGGACTATAATTTCCATCTTATTATCAATGTTATAAACATTACCTCACCATCACCATCACCATCCAATACTGAATTTTAATGGAGATTTGGGCTCCCATATCATTTGTTTCCAGGAAAGGGTCAAGAGTCTAGGATTGATCCTGGAAGGGGAAAAAACTGTCCATGCCTATACCAAATCCTTTTAACACTGGTGACAACATAATGACTTAGAAAAGCTCTTTACTATGCCAGAAGCACAGTGTAAAACTAGATGCTAGGTTCTTTGCTGCCTTTCTATACATGGAGAATAAAACAGAAGAAAATGGCACAGACTTGTCTTCATTGTGATATGAAACCTTTCATAAAATCAACACTCGGCTATGGCATAGCTAGTAAAGTAATATTAAGGGTTTGTCTCTGAAAATAATACAATTGAAAGGCATTTTACCCAGAGAGCAGAACTAGAAGATCTTGAAGTGTTTCTAAGGTCAACAAATCCATGTTTTAAACAGCTGGCACTCAGCACCTTTCCAAGACAATAAGAACTCCCCTCCCTTGCCCGTGTCCAGAAATGGCACTGGCATCACAAAGGTTGTGTCCTCCTCTCCGACAACCACTCCAGGGCCGTTGTAGAGTTTGCTGCTGCACAGAATGGAAGCATTTCACAACAGGGACCACATCAGCTTTCTAACCCAGCCACTTCACGTGTGATGACTCATTAGACGAAGAGAGTCCACGAGCCAGAGCAGTAATGTGGCAGCTACGAATTGCTCCCTGTCTATCACAGAATATAGAAATTTCACACCAACTTTCACACTAATCATAACTCTTCCTGTAAAAACAAGTTATCTGAACAATTCCATTACTGAGATCCTTGATAACCCCTTCCCCCTCTCCCAGAGAAGTGCACAGAAACAATTCAAACCCACTGTATCACTCTTGTCACCATCTGTGACATAGCTTTGTGACTAGAATATAATAGCTCCATACAGAAGGAGAGATAAATTAGCATCAACAGTTTAGTTATACTGAATTGTATCCTCTTCTGTTTCCCTAAAATGAGCCTTGCCCTCTAAGCTTAAGTTTTTAAATTACTGTCAAAATACTATACAATACCCTTAAAAAAAATTGCTACTCGGTGCTCAAAATGATAGAGCTAGAAGGTACTATTTGATACAATTGTGATGTCATTAGAAACTTCTTTACTTTAATATCAATGGATTTCTACAGTAAAATAATGAATAGAGCTTTTAAATTCTTCGCTTCAGGCAGGAGAGATGGTTCAGTGGTTAAATGCCTGTACTTTTGCTGAGGATCAGAATTCGTTTCCCAGCACCCACATCAAGTACCTCACAATCATCTGTAGCTCTAGCAACAGGAAATCCAGTGTCCTCTGCTGGCCTCCGAGGACACTGCCCTCCTGTGCACAGGAACAAATACACAAACTCAAAACTAAAATCATATTTAAAATTCTTTTCTTCTGCACTATCACACAAAGCCTAGTTCTAACTAAAACACATCACACCACCTCTATGATTTTCATTCTTGCTTATCGAACAGAACACCGTATGGCTTCTCAACTTTACTTCTTAGGAGCTGCATCTATTAGACTTCACCTGCTTCCTACAAACACTCCGTCTACACGCATGCATATTACTAGACTCTGGACTGTCGAATAAATCCTCATTATTCTTGAATTCTTTTCCTCTCAGTTGTCTTTACCTCTTTCCTAAATTCATACCCTTCCCTTTCAAAATGTATTGCTTACCAAAATCACGGAGGCCTTGCCTAGCTGTATTTATGATTTATCTCTAAACTGACTTTGAAAACTCTAATTCGTTGAACAGGCGTGATTTGTGTGTGCTGCGTTACCATGGGCCTCTTTGTCAGTTGTCTCAAAGGCTCACGGATGCTCCACGGATGGTTAACGCCTTTCAAGTTGACCTTAACATTAAATTATCTGCTTAACTGGAATCCTGCATTCCATGCAGCGCTCAAGCTGGCAGTGAAGGCTTTTCGGATGACTATTCCTTGTATGCACTATCGCTAATGATCGAAAACGTCCAGGGTGCTGGGCTTTACCATCTGGGTCTGTTGTGGTCGTACGTTGTAGTCGTATACTTACGGGAACAGAAACCTGAGGATTGTCCACAAGTCTCCCCAGCACAGCGAAGCCATCAGCGTCAATCGGGCCCCTTGGCTTTATAGGTAAGGATTCGATCCTGACGCAGTCAATGAAAAGAGTGGCGCTTGCTCTCTCCACGCCAATCATAATCTTATGCCACTGGGAGTCAAACAAGGATGGCAAATTCGAAAAGGCTGCGGTTTGGAGATTCCCATCCAGTCCCTTGTATGAAAATGCAACCGACTTCGTTTGGCCGTTTATCTTCACGCCGACTTGCTCCCTCCCTGAGGAATCCTGGATCTGCCAAATGTTCCAGTGCCTTTCCAGGGTGCTTCCGGTCATCCGAAAAGTAGTTAAAAAGGAATATTCTTCAGGCAGTCCGCTGGGATACAAATGCCTGAGTAAGATTTGAAAATAATAAATATGAACCTTGTTTTTCTGTGCTTATGCATATTTACTATTTTTTGTATTTTTATTTTATTTTGAATCCTAGTCCCGCAGAAAGGCTACAGTGTGGAAAAACTATGCAGCATACGTTCTTTGGTGACATGTTATTCAGACCTTCACAATTCAATCATTCACGTACGTTAATGCTCCACCTTAAAATGCACACTTTAAAAAGCCCTCCCTTATAACGAAGGAAGGTCCTCAACAATATTACCATTTATTCTACCCAAAGAGCCACCATTCATTCAGCAACGCCATCTCAGCCATAAAAACACATTCTTGCAATGTTTGGGGCAACATTTCCTGCGAAAGTGAGAAAAAGGATTATTTAAAGTCTAGATATATTCTACTGGCTTACAAAAAAAAAAACCATTCAGTTAAAATGAGTTTTAATTTTTACATACATTAAAGTTGTTTGCTATTTTCATAATTTCTATGCTAGTCTCAAAAAAATGCATTCTATACCCACATAAACATTTTGAGAATTAGTAACCAACTACATCGAATGCATTTAAAGCCTTCTTCACAGGAAGGACGTCTTCCTCAGGGATTTCAAAAGCTGATGTTTGTTACTGGATGTGTAAGGAGCAACACATGAGCAACTCTTCCTTCCCTACTCCAGCTCCATCATTTCCAGTCTACCAGTGAATGTTTACAGCATTGCCACTTTCTTCACTGTATTAAATGGAAGCTAAAATCACCAGTGTCGCTAAGGCAATCCTTATCTGTAGATGACTACTCCTCTCTCTCTCTCTCTCTCTCTCTCTCTCTCTCCTTATCTATGGATCTTCTGTTGAAGCAAGTTCTTAGAGGTTTAAATGAGAATGTCAGCTTTCAAAGTCTTCAAAGTTATTTCTCTACATCTTCTTCTAAATATAAGAGAATTCCTCAGCCAGAAGGTAACGCTAGGAAAACTAAATGTCAGCGAAATGTGTTTACTAAACAAGAAAACTGAAAACCATCAGGCACTGAGACCCAGAGTTCCAAACAACCTTTCTGGGGGTCAAACTTTTGTATTTAGCTCCTTCAAAGAATGAAGAATAGGAAGACGAGAAGAAATGTCTCAATTGGTATTGATTTCGTATAATGACACTTAGTGAAATGAAACATAGTATGCATACACAGTTTTGTGAAAGTATACAGAAATTTCGTGTGCTTTGACAAAAGAAAAACAAACACTTTAGAATACAGAAGAGGAACACAAAAGGACTACCTAAAGTCATCTTTTTCCAGAATAGAACTAACCACCTCACTCCAGACACTTGTTCTGAATATGCTTCTTGTTTCTCAACTTGTTTGTCACAGTTCTTTTGATTTTATATACAATCTTTTAGAGTAGACTAGTATGTTAATAGGGCAAGAAAAGAAATTTAACTCATTATTTGTATGAATAGACTATTCATACTTGTGTGTACTGAAGGCTCTTAAATGTCTCTGAAACCTAACCCACAGAACAGGCAGCCTAGTGTATTATTAAACCCCTGACGTTCCGTTCCTGAAAATATGCTCTGCCTGTCAATAAGCAGGCCTGACAACATACATAATTTAAAAGAAGTTCTGTCTATGAATGATTTATTGTATTCCAATGTTCACGAGGTACCTTAAGTGGAGAACCATATGGATTTGAGTAAATGAGTCAAAAGTCTTTGAACCTTGAAATATTTGTTTATGACCTTAAAACCAAGAAAGCTAAGGTCTGTGCTGCAAAAGAAAACAAGGATGAAAAGCTATTATGCCCCAAATACAGAACAAAAGGAAGCAGAATCATGTTTATTCAGTAATTTTGAAGATAAACAGATAAATAAGTGAAAATTACGATTATTTGGCATTAATTTTGCAGCATATTTTTTCTTATGAAGATCCTATCAGTGTTTTTTCAGTCTCAGAACCGATATCTCCAGCACAAAATGTCTCATTCTGTTCGCTAAGAAGGATGCCATCCCTTCCTTCTTTGTCTTCTAGCTTTTGCATGAGTAATTTTTGAAAAAGAATCAAATTCCGCAGTATATGCGTAGCACACTTTCCTTATCCATTCATCCATTGAATTCCAAACAAATGCTTGTTTCCAAACAATCACTTCTAAGCAGTCATTTCCGTTTCCTGACTATGGTTAATAGAGTGGCAATGAACACCGCTGAGCAAATAACTGTCCTTTGGACATAAGCTGAGAGGTAGTAAGTACAGCTGGGCCACGTGATAGATCTATTTTCAGTTTTTATTTTTAAGAAAAAAAAATGAAACCATGAAATTTGAGGATAAATTATGAAACTGAAAAAATATTGTGAGCAAGGCAACCCAGATCCATAAAACCTAATGCCTCATGCTTCTTCTTTGTGGTTCCTCGCTAATCCAGGTGATATGGAGGGGGAACTGGGAAAACATGGGGTATATCTGGGGAGAGGAATGGAAAGCAAATACTACAGGGGAGGAACAAATAACTCTAAGGATGTTTGGAAAAACATAGAGAACAACATTACATTAATTTTTCTTAAAACTTCATATAGCTTGTAATATACTTACATAAATACGTATATGTGCAGTCTAAATGAATTATGCCGTGATGGTGATAATGACCCCCCCCCCGCAAGAGCCACAAACTATTTAACAAAAAGCCTAGAAGCAGACATGAAGAACCTCCTTTTGAGCCATTGGCTAGGAGAGTCAAGAGACTCTCTAAACAATATATGGTTCTCCTTTGCTCTTGGTTTCCTTCCAGAATTTGAAGGCAAGTCTCTATTGCAAAAGATACCACACACCTTACACACAGAACTTAGGGGACTTGAGCTGGGTCTGACCTGGAAGCCTGCTTCCTGATGAATAGCTCCAGTGGTCTCCCTACATCCTTTGCAAGCTGGGTAGAGTGAATGGAATTTTATGTAAGAAGTGGGAAATAGTAAGAGCTGGAGAGGACAGGAACTCCACAAGGAGAGCAACAGAACAAGAAAATTTGAACACAGGGAACTTCCCAGAGACTCATACTCCAACCAAGGACTATCTGTGGAGATAACCTAGAACCCTGACAATGCAGCCACTTCTGATGAGAACTGATAGACTAAGATCAGAAAGAAGGAGAGGAGGACCTCCCCTATCAGTGGACTTGGGGAGGGGCATGCATGCAGAAAGGGGGGGAGGGGGAGACCAGGAGGGGAGAAGGGACAGGCATATGGGGGGATAAAAAATGAATAAAGTGTAATTAATAAAAGTTAAAAAATAAAAAGAAAAAAAGAAAAGCAATCAGCAGTCCCCACAGCTGTGATGCCTTCGGACCACACCAATGGCCAGAATGACAAGATATTTTAAAAGTCCAACAATGGCACTATACATTGGTGGCAACTGATTGCCATCTAACCGGACTGAAGACCTGCTTAAAGTGAGGGAATTTAAGCCTAATACTGTAAACCTAGGAAACGCCCTGTGGCTGGTGAGGTCGTGTACCCTAGAGGACAACTTAGTATTGACATGTTCCCAAACCAGTACACTTTCTAACTTCATTCAAAATACACATCTTTCTCCCCATAGGTAACTGTAGTCTCTCATTCCTCATCAAGAAAGCCTTTTTTTCTTTTTAAAGCAGAAACCATTATAGAACTTCACAACTAGTCAAAATGCAAAGAACTGACTGTGGAGAGCACAAAACAGATACATCTACAATACAACCTTTAATGTAAAGCTCAGCGATCCTCATGGAAGAGGGTCTGGGAAGATTCTAACAGCCGGAGGAACAGGATATCTGCTGAGAGACCGTGTCTTCTAAATAGGACAAGAAAGCTGCACCCATGTGGTCTCAGCCCTGCCTAAATACGACCTGAATAATGACAACACCGGTTGGCATGCCAGTGGGAATAAGGGAAATTTCACAAGGCCACACGCCAACATGAAGACCTATAGACAATTAATGACTGCTGAGAGAGAGAGAGAGAGAGAGAGAGAGAGAGAGAGAGAGAACCAACCTTTCCCAAAGATGAGTCCCCTAATTAGCTACCAAGTGGCAAACCCAAAAAGCATATATTTCAAGCCACATTAAATGTACTCAGCTGGGCTGGTTGTATTTATACATTGTGTGTGTGTGTGTGTGTGTGTGTGTGTGTGTGTGTTCATAACAATTAAAAAATTAAGAGACGGGGAATTTGAGAGGGAGCAGGGGAGAAACAGGATGAGTTGGTGGGAGAAGGAAAGAAAAATACATTGTATTATGTAAATACAATAGTCGTATAAAGCTCTTCAAAAAATAAACAATACCTTTAAATAAACAAAAAGAAAGAATCCATTGAGGAGAAGGCTCCCCTGCATGCCCTCTCCTCTGCTGGTATGTTTCAGCTCTTCACCGAGAGTGAACTCTTATCCAGCCCTCCAGAATCAGGCTTTATCTAAGCACTGTACAGTTAATATTTTCTCTATATAGCAACCTTATGATATGATTCTTCCCTCTATCACTAATTTTTTTAATTAATAAGACTGAGGCTTAAATAGCTTGCTCTAAACTAGCCAGGGCTGGGGACAAGGGGCATGGGAGAAGGCAGAGTAAATTGGAAGTGAAGAGAGAGTAATTGAGACTAGTGTATAAAAAACCAGTATAGAGCCATGTAATGAAATGTGAGCTAACCTGAAAACAAAAGACAGAAATATATCTATCTCAGAGAAAATAGAAGAAAAGGATTTTATTATGTACCTAGAACTCTGCATGACTCAGCACTCTGACTCACCTCCCTTTTTTTTTATTTCATTCCTCCTTCCTGCTTCCTTCTTTCTTTCCTCCACCATCTCCTAGTAAGTCTGGTGATTGTGAGACTTTAGTTAGACCTGTGTGCATTACTTACTGAAGGCTCTCGGCGCTTAGAGGAAAAACAGCAGAAAAGATAAGCAGGATGTAGAGAACTGTATAGCCCCTAGCCAGCCAGTCAGTCTCTGAACTGACTAAGGTCAAAGGCAACCCTTTGTGCTTCGAATCACAGAAGGGACGATTAGATCAGAATTCCGTGTTGTGTCTTTATTTTATTAAAAGAGAAACAATAATTTTGGCATTTATTTTAGAAGCCAGCTAGTACTTCTTTAGATAACAACACCATCTCAACAATGGACTAAATGAAAAAACAGATAAAGCCAGTTTCTGTTGTCACACCTATCCTAGCGAGCTTTAACTGACAACGTGATAACAGCCTTAAATCCCCTCAGAGGGGGTCTCAACTGAGGGGTTACCCAGATCAGATTAATCTGTGGGCAACTGTCTTGATTGTTAACTATGCAGGAGAGCCTGCCCACCTCGGGCAGCACCATCCCTTAGGCAGGTGGCCCTGAGCTATGGAAGAGAGCTCACCAAGCACGAGCCTGTGAGCCAGGAAGTAGCATTCCTCCACTTCTGCTTGTTGTTCCTTCTTGAGTGCCTGTCCTCATTTTTCCCAACGACGGACTGTCTGTTACCCAGAAGTGTAAGACAAATAAACCCTTTCCTCCTGTAAGCTGCTTTTGGTCGGAGCAGTTCATCACAGCGACACAAGCAAGACTAGAATGATGGCTTTAAACTTTCCCACTGTGAATGAGTGCCCAGGCTCAGAATGAAGTAGCGGTCAGAAGTAGCCATGCTGCCTGACTCTCAGCCCAGCCAGCCAGCACCAATCCTTTAACTCCCTTATGTGACTTAACTACACTTCGGGAATTCTGTTTCCTCCTACTCTAAACAAGAGCAATGATGTCCTTGAGTAACAATGTTATGAGGAAGTTGAGAGCAACGTTACTAAATATGTAACAAAACCACAGTGTTCCTTTCTTGCACTACACATACTGCTTAAAATGTGAATTTTTTTTACCTTCTCTTTTCGTGCTATATAAGATTCCTCTAACTTTAAAAGCATTCATACTTCATACACAAGTTTTCTACCATGGTCTTTCATTAGTGTAGTTAATCTTTTTATTCCTACACAGCTTAATGCCCATGAAAGTCCTAATATTTTTTTATCTGCCAAAGGACTTTTAGTTCTATTTTCACAGTGCATTAAAGCACTTTATATGTAATATATTTGTGAATACAAATATACATACATGACGTGAGAGAATATGAGAACTATTTCAGGAAAAGAACTGAGATGGACACCAGCATACACATGTATGAAAATTTCATGATGAAAACCCATTAGTTTGCACAATAAACACATACTAATAATAAAAGAAAACTCAAAAAACGTATAATAATCATCCTGATCACAAGGTATGTTGATGATACAAAACCTAGATCAGTGAAGGGCGTTCATTGCAATGACACGACTCATTCAAGCCACCTAGACCACGGAACTTCAGCCCTAAAGAATTTACAGATGAACTCCGGGAAAGGAGAGCAATAAAGGAAAAGCACCATCTGTGTCCCTGCCAGGGCTTCTGTTATAATTACTTCCATTCGGTTTCTGTTTGCTGTCACCTAGGACCCGAGACCGTCTGTGTGGTTCTACTTCAGCACCGGGACACTTGAACAGCTCCACTGTGAGCCTCCAAACCACACTACGGCTGGCTCCTAGTTAAATTTATGCTTCACTCCTGGTGCCTTTCACAAGAGGATCCTTTCAGCCGAAACCAGACAAATTGTGGAAAAACAGAAAGCAAGATTCTAAAACCGTGTCCTGAATTGATAGATGACGGTCCCGGCGGTGTTTTTATTCCTGGGATGGAAAGTAAATTACAAACCTAACATGAAGAGAGGTATTCAGATGCTAATGATTGATAGGTGAACACATTCCTTTGGCTTTTTTTTTTTTTTTAACGGTTGTGGCTATTACCCATTGGCTACAGCATGCGAGGAAAGTGCTTTACCGCCGAGCTGTACCCCAAAGCCCTTCGTCTTAAAATAAAGCAATGCAGGAAATACCAAACAGTAAAAAAAAATCTTCTAACATGGAATAGTGGCAAACGTCTCTACGTGTGTTTAAGGAAGGCAATCAGAGTGTTTTTGGCAGGTTACCTCGTCGGAATCCTCAAGTCTACGTTACTTCCCAGCTTGTAAGCCACTTGTAGAGGAGTGGAACCCACCACCCTCTGGACGGTCCTGCGGGACGCAGCTTTCTCAATTTGGAACTGAGAAATCAGGTCAAACCCTACAGAAAGGGAGCATGAAAGCAAAAGTCGTCAATGAGACCGGGTCTATCCCCTTTCCCACGTAAACGATATTTGGCAAGCTTGCATTTCTGGTGCGACGCAGTGCGACTTGCCTGGCAGGTCATCTTGGCCAATCCTGATCTTGGGACACATTTCACTTCCACCATTAGAAGCGGAATTGGCAGGAAATCCTGCAAGAGCAAACCACCGTGTCACCCAATCCATCCACTACAGGAAGATAATTAATTGACTTAATATTAAAATAATAATATTAATAACCAAGCAGCTGCTTAAAATATAGTGTTGTATAAGCTTGCTTATAAGCCATGTATTTGGCTTTAACTCAAGGCCTCAATAATGAGAATTCATTCACCTTAAGCTTCTCCAGGAAGGGATGCAAGGCATGGAATTAGAGTAATAATTTATGATGGAAAAATGTTCCTGCCTGAAGGAGTTGGAGATTTGTCCCGTTTAGAATCAGAGCTGTGCAGTGTCCTGGATGGCATGGGGTCAGAAGTCTGTTGGGAAAGCTTCTGGTGGTTTGGGCTAGAAATATTCCTCAAATACCACCAATTCTAAATTTACAGTGACATTACAGAGTCAGCCTTGAGCCAGTTCAATGGGCCTCCCAGACAACAGCAGTTCTTACACACACACACACACACACACACACACACACACACGAGAGAGAGAGAGAGAGAGAGAGAGAGAGAGACAGACAGACAGACAGACAGACAGACAGAGAGAGACAGAGAGTTTCAGTACAGAGCTGAGCTTTGGCCTACCTACCAAAAAGTACATCAAATATTTTCTCCTTATCCTCCTGACCCCAGTGTGTTGGGAAAATCCATCCATATCCATACATCCATGTATTCTCTCTGTATTTACCATTCACCATGTTAGGCCCTAGAAAAAGACAGCTGTCCTTCCTGCCTAGCCGCTCACAGTTGGGACTCCCTTTCCAGGCTCAACATTGAGCACAGAACCAACCATCCAAAACATCTTCCCAATGCAGGCAGAAGAGGGAAAGCATGAAAGGTTCTTGAAGGTGAACTCAGTGTTCTCTCAACTACAGCCCTGCTTTATCACAGTCCTGCCTGCTTCTGATGGCAAAGAGATACTTCAAACTCCATAAACCATGGCTCTTACTTGGGCGACGCTTAGGAGTTGCAGATGCCCAGGGTCCCAGGAAACTGCATACAAAGAAGAAAACTGGGATTTTCCTGAAGGGGAGAGACAGGGGAGGAAAAATGACCGAAACAGGAATCTCTCTAGATGGGACTACCTCCATATTTAAACCTGGCAAACCTGACTGATGGAGGCATCCATTCCCAAGGCATACTGCTTACTGCCTTTATTTCCATTTTGAAAGCTCACTTAGAAATGATGCGGATAAACGCATTTCTGGCTCGGTATGCACTATCTCACTTTCTGCACTGCTCTAGTCCCTGCTTTCTGACTATATATATATATATATATATATATATATATATATATATATATATGCTCTACATTCTCATCTGTCTCTGTCTCCAACTCTCTCTTGGTTCTCACTGTCTCTTGCCTCCCCCTTATGCTACCAATACTGCAAAAATCCTCCCCCACCTCCCCCCATAGTCGTGGGCTTACCAGCAGTTCTTCATTTTTCCAGGAGGGTCCCTTTGGTTTATAACAGTCACTGTGAAGAAGGGGCTGGAGGGGAGTCACAACTCCCCTAGACCCCTTCTCTATCCTTCTAGGACTCTGAGTTTGGGCCCGATCTTGGTCCTGCTTGCCCCTCTCAGGGCGAAAAGCAAAAAGAAAGGGGGGGACCAGAAGCATCTACTAACTCTTTAAACTGAAGCAAAGAAAAGGGGTGGGGAGAGGTGGCCTGTAAGCCCAGGCCCAGCCATGGGCGTGCCCTCAAAGCTAACAAGGTTACACTGAAGGAGGGATTGAATGGGAAATGCCTTGCTGAAAAGAAAAAAAACCAGGCTGTGGGGAATTTCACCAGAAAAAAAATTCAGCAAGCCGCTATAGGAATACAGTAGAAGCTTTTAGAACCACTATATTAAGCTTCCAGGAGCACACTGGAAGCTTTTAGAACTGTTATAGGGGCACAGTAGAGGCTTTTAGTGGCCACAGGATCCAGCAAAGAGAAGCCTATTGTGAGGCAGAGGTGTGGGAACTCACTGGAGCCTCACTGCCTGGTCAACCTAGCTCTAAACCCACTTCTTCTGACTTACCAGTTATAGGAACCTGAACAAGGTAATAAGCCTCTCTATATTTAACTACCTTGCCTATACAACAGGATGAAAACATTTTTTAACAGTTACTGGGGGAGTCAAATGATATTGGCAAAGATAAAGTATCTCAAGCCAAACTCTCATCCCTTGGCATCCTTAATGCCCTGCTAACAATTCATTTGTGCATTTCCCTCTCCTGTCCATGCCTTCAGGCTAGTAGCATACGATTCTCACAAACCTCCCATGAAGTTAGATTGTGCACACTGCTACTCGATAGATGAAAGAACTAAGATACAGGCCCAGGGGACTCTCCAAGGGCATCATTGCTGCCCATGGTTGCACGTCAACTCTAACTCCCCACTGGAAATTTTGGTACGATATGATCTCAAGCCTTTTACTTTTTTTGCTCTAAGTCTCTGAGATTAATAGTATGAGACTGAATATCCAAGGAGTACACAAGTACATTGTTTTTCACAAACAAGCAGAGAGTGAATTACTAGGCTAATAGGACTTAGAGAGACGGCGTGCCCACACGACTGTCACACATCTGCAGGCATTCTCCTGTATCTGAGCACCCTGGAGAAGGAACAGCAGAACCCATGGCCCTGTACCATGCACAGGATGCCCTGCCTCTGTTGTTAGATGAACTCAGAGTCAGGTGGACCAATTATCTCTGTAAATCGTGGTGCCTAATAGCTTTGAGGTTTGCATTCATGAATGCTTTTCGTGTTTTGAACTCATTAAATTTTTATTTCATTTCAGAACAAGTAATACAGCTGATTCTTGTTTATTTTGGGTGTTTGTGTGTGTGTACATGTTTTTTTATGTGACAGGGGGTGGGGTGCATATATGTAATCATAAAGAAGCTCAAAACTAACATTGGGTTTCTTTTTTAAAGTTATTAATTTTATTAATTACAGTTTATTCACTTTGTATCACTGCTGTAGCCCCCTCCCTCATCCACTCCCAATCCCACCCTCCTCCTTCATCTCCTCTCATGCACCTCCCCAAGTCACTGATAGGGGAGATCCTCCTCCCCTTTTCTTCTGACCCTAGCCTTTCAAGTCTCATCAAGACTGCCTGCATTGTCTTCCTTTGTGGCTTGGTAAGGCTGCTCCATCCTCAGGGTGAGGTGTTCAAAGAGCCAGCCATTGAGTTTATGTCAGAGACAGTCCCTGTTGCCATTACTAGGAAACCCACTTGGACACTGAGCTGCCATGGGCTACATCTGTGCAGGGGTTCTATGTTATCTCTGTGCATGGTCCTTGGTTGGAGTATCAGTCTCAGAAAAGACTCCTGTGTCCAGATTTGTTTGCTCTCCTTGTGGAGCTCCTGTACCCTCCAGGTCTTTCTATCTCTCCCTTCTTTCATGTAAAGCAAAGGACACTGTCGTCAGAACAAAACCACAGCCTGCAGATTGGGAAAGGATCTTCACCAACCCTATATCTGACAGAGGGCTGATATCCAGAATATATATAAAGAACTCAAGAAGTTAAACAGCAACAAATCAAGTAATCCAATTAAAAATGGTATACAAAGCTAAACAGAGAATTCTCAATAGAGGAATATCAAATGGCAGAGAGACACTTAAAGAAATGTTCAACATCCTTAGCTATCAGAAAAATGCAAATCAAAATAACCCTGAGATTTCACCTTAAAACCATCAGAATTGCTAAGATCAAAAACTCAAATGACAACACATGCTGGAGAGGATGTGGAGAAAGGAGAACCCTCCTCCATTGCTGTTGGGAATGTAAACTTGTACAACTACTTTGGAAATCAATCTGGCACTTTCTCAGACAATTAGGAATAGTGCTATCTCAAGAACCAGCTATACCACTTCCTAGGCATATATCCAAAACATGCTCAAGTACACAATAAGGACATTTGCTCAACCATGTTTGTAGCAGCTTTATTTGAAATAGTCAGAAGCTGGAAACAACCCAGATGTCCCTCAGTTGAGAAAAGGATACAGAAAAAGATACCACATTGTGGTACATTTACACAATGGAATGCTACTCAGCAATTAAAAACAAGGAAATAATGAAATTTGCAGGCAAATGGTGGGAACTGGAAAAGATCATCCTGAGTGAGGTATCCCAGAAGCAGAAAGACACAAATGGTATATACTCACTTATAAGTGGATATTAGACATATAATATAGGATAAACATACTAAAATCTGTACACCTAAAGAAGCTAATCAAGAAGGAGGACCCTAGGTAAGATGCTCAGTCACCTTTCAGAAAGGCAAAAGGGATGGACATCGGAAAAGGGAGAAACAGGAAACAGGACAGGAGCCTACCACAGAGGGATTTGACCCTGAAAGACTCTACTCTGTAGGGTATCGAAGCAGAGGCTGAGACGCATAGCCAAACTTTAGGCAGACATTGGGTTTCTTCTTCCATAATTCACCGCCTTGCTTAAGGAGGCACGGTCTCTCGCTGAACCCGGAGTTCACTGGGGCTCTGCACCTCGTGCTGAGATTGTAGAGAGCTGCCAGGTCTGCCTCTCAGTTACATCAGTTCCCGGAACCAAACTCTGGTCCTCACACTTGTGAGGCAAAGAAAAGTTACCCACTGAGCCATCTCCTCAGTTCTTACCCCTTTGTTGTTTCAATAGGGTCTTTTCTCCTTCAGGCTCTCTCAACTTGCTGGACCTTGACCAAGAAAATGCTACTGTTCATGCTCTTTTTCTATGTTTTTTTTTCCCTCTAGCCTACTCACAGGGTGGGAGGTGGGGGTTCTCCCTCCCAAAGAGAGACATCCATTTCTTCTTGTTGTATGTTGCTGTCCACAAGGCCTGCTCTCTACCAAAATTCCCAACCCCTGAGGTGGCCGCCCTGGCTCAGAACAGAACTATGAATGGCCTGAGACCTGCTTATTTGTTTAAGCTAGTTGAAGTTTATGTAAAAAGGAAAGTGTGCCTCTGGGGAGCTTCCTAATGGCCTGAAATCATGGGAAACAAGTCACCCTTAGATCTGCAGAGAGAAAAGGGATTTCTATCCAAGCTATGAATTTGTGATCTGTAAGAAAGAAGACAGGCAATTTTCCTATACACGTAGGTATTTCAGAAATCCTTCAAAAGGTTTTAGAGAACTCACCTTTATGCTTGCCGCTTCCCAACACACTTTGAAGAAATCTTTACAACTAAAATAAGAAAGCAGGTGAATAGACCTTTAAATAAAAGATAAAAGAATCAAGAGGAAACTAAGCCTGCTTATAGGTAACAGGCTTTCTTTCCAAGCTGGCTGTTTATTTTAAAGAGTGAATAACAACAAACTAATCATTCTATAAAGACAAAAATGTAAACCCTGAAAAACACCAATCCTATATACAACCTTTAATGATACGTTTGTATTCTCCGTCAATCTTATCTGTCATTAATCATATTGTCTAATGTGACATTATAATCTCACAGAAAGCAGGATTGAACTCGACACTATCCAAGTCTGCATAAAGCTGTACCCTGAAGTCAAAGGCCCTTAAGCTTTTTTATCCTTTTCTTTTTTTAAAAAAGTATGTGTACCTGTGGAGGATTTTGCACAATCCTGCAGTTGCCTGCAGAGGCCAGAAGAGGGCATTAGATCCCCTAGAGCTAAAGTTTCAGACAGCTGTGATCTATCAAACACAGGTGCTACGAACTGAACTCAGTCCTCTACAAGAGTAGTAAGTTTGCTTAACCACTGAGCCATTTCTCCAGGCCCAGTGTGTGTGTGTGTTTGGTTTTGTATTTAATGCTTCCCCTCCTTCACTTTACCTACTTATTCTTTGCTGAAAAGCCACCAGGATAGAAAAGCTTGGTCGTTCACAACAGATCATAAATTCAGTAAGAAAACATGACATTTAAGCAAGTATTTTATATAGAATAGTTTTGTGCTCTCCTTCACACTCTACCCTCTACTATATCCTATAGTGTATATATATGCATTATCTTTCTTTGTCTATAAATCAAAATGATCCCTTATAACCTAAATTAGGAATCTCTATCATAGACAATCATATTTCTTGATCATCAATTTTCTTTCATCTGTTTGTTCAACTCAAAAAAAAAATATGTATTGAATAACTGTATTGCCAAATAGATACTAAGAGCTGAGACAAATAAAAAAGCATGAATAAGCAACATGCTTGCCCTGAGGAAGCTCCCAATGTAGCAGGGAATGAAAAATAACTACACTACTGAGATCGAAAATGACTGTCAACAAGTATGAACTCAGTCCAAGGGCACAGGAAATCTTTCATCCCGGAGATGGAATCTGAAAAGATGAACAGAAGCCTACTGAGAGAATAAGGAAGACCAGTACATCTTAGGCAGAGGAAACAGAATACATCATGGGGGTGGGAGGAGAAGAAGAAGAAGAAGCCACAGAGGGAGTAACAAGTTGAGCTCAGAGACAGTTTTGTAATTAGTCATTCCTGCCCCTCCTCCTTCAACCCCTGAACTCAG